TTAAATATTCTTTCTCATTATTTTTTTTTTACTGATTACGAAATTTAAATCGTATGAAGAGTCAAAATTATGTTATAAATTATCAGGAACGTTTGTGATATAGTGAAAAAGATCCGAGAAGAAGAAATGAAAATATGAAATGAATAAAGAGAATAATATAATATTTACTTAAATTAATAATTAATAACAATATAATAACAATTACGAGTTTCCAATTTAAAAACGCTTGCGTCATCAAATAAATGCACAGTTCCTTTTCAATCTACGCAGATGACAAAACAATGAATATTTCATACGAATATGAAACGTATAAACGAATGATTTGCTTTCATAATTACCTGATAATTCAGAATATCTCGTCATTCTCGTGGATAATAAAAACAGGCTCCGTAATTTACAATGCAACGTATTTCAGCGTACGCATATAAACGAAAAAATACATTCTGCTTATAACATTCAATCATATGCTTCGAATATTACTAAAACAATAATAAAGATACCCGTTGGAGCGTCGAAGATTTCATTAATCCCGTGAACGATCCGAGTCCTTAATTTGAATCCCCCCGACAATCAAAAATGTTTCATTAATTCGTGGAACAATGCTCGACGTATAAATTTAATTTCCTCGTTAAGCGAGTGCTTGCGTTTCAACCGTTTCGCGGAATCAGGAAAATTTTATGTACCCGTTCGGATTAACGCGTCTGTGGATCTCCCTATAAACAGGCGTGGGACGCAGCAAAAGAACTTTCTTTACGATTATTTTTGCTCCGTTTTTTCAAAGGTCATTTCCACAATGCTGGGAAAAAATATGCGCGACGCCATCGCACGGTGGGTTCAGTTTCGCCTAAAAGGACATACCTACGAATAGGAGTCTCGTCAGGACAGCAGACGAGCTCGACTCGCCGTGAAAGAGATCGCTCGCGTTCCGAGGGTGCGTGTTCCTTGATGCCGCCGATGTTCGGAAGCTTAAAGGGGATCGTTTTATGGACAAGCGAAATGAATTCGATATATAACAAGGGAAGGTCCTTGATTGTTTGACTTCCTGATATTAAGGGGGACTTCTGATTTGAAGAATGGACCAAACCGATTTTTCCTTCACACTTTTCAAATTTTCATACTGTTACATTTCAATATAAAACTTTGTGAAACCACATAAAACTATATGAAACTACACCAAACCACATAAACCTATATAAAACTACATAAAACTATATGTTAAACTATGTAAAACTACATAAAACTGTGTAAAACTATATGTAAAACTATGTGAAACTACATAAAACTGCATAATATTATATAAAACCATAAATAATACTTCAGATATTACACATATTACATAGTATTTTGAGGATACATTTTTAATCCTCCGCCGGCAATATGAATTACTGTCTGGTCGAAAAATCTTATTTTTTTATGATTTCGTTATTATTTTTAATTTTTGCAAAATGATACGAAGATTTTGTTAAAGTGTGAATTGTGTTTTCCATTAGGAACTATAATAAGTACTTTAGAATTTTCTCAGATTTTTACAGAACTTAAAACAATGAAAAATCAATCATAAAACGTCCATATTACTACATTGATGAAAAATTATGTTGCTGATGGAGGGTTAAAAATATTACCTGAAGATGATATTATGTAATATGAGAAATTATGAAGTTTATAGAGCCTTGAAGAGTGTAACGTTATTAACGACAATTTAATATGGTCTATATGAAAAAATAACTTTAAATCAGTTCTAAATTGTTCAGATATGTATAATGAATATAGTTTTGCCTGTTTGTAATAACCTTGTTGACAAACTTTCTAACCTAACTTTTTCCTTTAACGGACCAAATGAACTTCTATTTTTTACAAAAAAATAACATTTAGTAATTATGAACTTTAAGTAGATGATGTATAGCATACCAATTCATAGAAAACAACACTTCATTTTGGAATCATTGTACATTGATCTATTAAACAAAATAATTCAGAAATCTATAGTTATAATAACTTTTAAACTAAAAGAATTTTTAACCCTTGTGCAAACAACCAAAATGTTTATAGTAGACGAAATATTAATATTAAGATACTTTTGCATAAATATGTTACTTTTCAAACAGAAACCGACGTAAATGTGTTCAAAAATGGAAAGTCATAGCAATCATTTGATGAAAACAAAATAAATTTTGTTATAAAATGGGTATCTAGGTACGGAGATACTCATCAAGAATCAACCACGAATAGTAAACACATGAAAGATTCTAAAAGTTGAAAAGAAATCAATTTTCTGAATGTTCTAGGTTAGAATACAGCCTTAAAGTCGAAGTTCGACAATTGAGGATTATCAAAGATCTTCCCTTACAAGTCTACGCGTCTTGTAACACGTGGCAACGCCTCGGAACCAAGGGGACACCGGAAAACTGTGGGAAACGGGTTCGCCGGGAATTGTTCCGCGATTCAATTTGGAAATAATTATGAGGGAGCGCCAAGCAATTAAGAAGATCGAAACGGGAGATCAGCGGACGGTTCTCTTATGTTATAATTTCAACATTACTGAAAATTTGTTGGCTGAAAAATGGTAACCGCGATACGATCGCCATTATTAGGCGCATTCCCAACAGTTGACACCATTCAGCGTATTTAATTACTAAAGGACGCAAATTGGTGTTGCGATTTATTATATATTTCATTACATGCATTTTGTACGTTTAATTAATCATTGAATTACCATTTGGTATGATATGTATAGGAATGGTGGAAAAGTAAATCGATTCTACCGTTCTGTAAATTTTGTAACGCTTTTATTAGTTGCTGTGAATGAAATATTCAATTAAGACAAATATTAATTTATTATCTAAAATTACGATTTTAGAAAAACGACAATTCTTTCAACTCTTGCTACAAGTAGATGCCTATAAATAAATTGTAAGCTACTTAAAATAGTCACAACAAATTTTGTATATTTTAATATATCTCTGGATACTATATATATCTATGTAATATAATTTATGATCACATGTTTCTCATTCATATTTATGTTCTTTGATAAACGAGTATAAATAATAATGTGATTTTTTAAAAATCAAAAATTTAAACTGATAGATAAATAAATTAATGTACATAAAATCGTTGTACTATTTAAATATTTTAATATTTTAAACATCTGAAATTTAATAGCTATATGTAGAGTTGTTAAAAATCATCGCTTTTAAATATATGAATTTTGTTGGATAGATAGTTTTCAAATCTGTGTGATAACTATTTATGTAATGTAAGGTTAGATTTATTTATATTTATATAACATTCTTCGAAAATTTTTCGAGGTAACCCAATTCTTATATACATTTGTAAATATTATATCTTTCGTTTTGATTATTGAACAAATCTAAGATATTGTTTCATAATGTTTCAGACTCAGCTCAATGTTATTGCAGTAAATAGAACCAGCTGACGCTGAATGTTCCCTGTCCTCTTCAGTCATTGTTTATGTATGAGTTAAAAGCGACCTGGTATCGGCCATGCGAGGGTTGAAAGAAGCCGGTTGTGCTGTATAGACTGAAAGAATCCA